TACCATTTAATTTGATCATGTTTATGAACATCTTACACTAGTCAAAAGTGATCATTGTTTCACACCCAAGACCAAAAGTACTCTAAACATCTAAGTAATGTGACAGTCTTACCACCTCATCTAGATAATGTATTAATGGCATGTGTTACCACATATACGTCAATTTTTTTCTCTTTCATCCAACTATTAGCATGATTGTTCAATTACTATTTTGTATGATTCATCAATAACTACTACTATAATGAGTGATTAAGAAAGCTAACTCTATAAATCATCATATCATTGACAGTCTTACCATGTCAACCAAGTGAAGTGATAAGATAGTCCACTATAACAATTTCTACTATTTTAGAGTCCAAGTTGAACTTGTTTCAGACCCAAGATAGAGCAAAAATAATTATCTAGAAAGACCTCAAGCAGTATTTAATCTCAAAGTGAATATTTTTCATATCCAAAAAAAATAAAGCATAAATATCCAGACGAACCGCATGCACTGTTTTGAAGTCCACAGCTGGACAAGAACAATACATATATTGTTAAATCAGTCTTCAAAGTAAGAATTCCTTCACGTACGTACCCGTCTGATAAACATTTAAGCAAAACAAATCTGAGAATATACAAACCAAAAAATTTGTTAAAACAGTGAAGCAGAGAGGTCCCCAGACGAGAGTTACGGATCAAGTACCAGTGTTAAGAGAACTTAATATTACTGCTAGACCTTTATCATTTGAAAGAGTCTATTGCAAGTTTATTAATTAGCTATCGTGTGATTGTGAATAACACTTCTTTTCAGAAAGAAAGTACAGTAATTATCAAATAGGAACTAAAAGTTTTGCTTCAATTTCTGAAGTAATTCCAGGCAATAAATATGCATGACTAAGGTAGGTTCAATTGTAAACAAGACAATGATTAGCAGCTTTATCAATCCACCATTGGAATCTTCAATCTTCTTCTGCTTCACTTGCATAAGTTGCATCTCAGCCTTAATTTCTGCCACTTCAGTCTACAGATTTTTTGCATATGTAGCAATGTAATCAACCAGGTTGAACTCCGTTGATGGACACCAAAACCTGTAGTACCCACAAGCACCATCTCTACAGGAGTATAACTTGCGTGGATTATCCACACTCTTTGATATCCTCACTCCAGCCTTAAACCGACGCCTGACGGAAACCACATAAATAGTCAACTAGTCTTTTCGTATAATATACTGCAAGAAGAAACAAAAAGAGAAAGAAAAGGATTCAGAATGATTTTGTTTGCTAAAACGCATGTGAAGTAGCTAAGAATTTGTGGACATTGGCTGCCTTTTATACTCATAAATCTATGACCAAGGAATACTTTACACAGCCAAAAATCAATCTCATATTACATGGATACAACTTTTGTTTGATGGCTCATTTCGAGTCCCTTCCTCGAGTCGTGTATGTTTTCAAAAAATTTGTTCCCAGCTAATATCATTTCAACCCTTCGTATTTTCTACTTCTTTATAGGCCTTATAAAACATATTTCCACTCCCTCTTATTTTTAATATCATTCAATTTTACGTTTATGAAATTGACTCTCAATCCTATCTTTTGCGAAACAACACACTCTGGTTAGGAAAATTTAGCAACCTTGTCTGTTTTATTTAACCAAAGATATCTTGCTACCGATATGACGTTCTTCTTTTCAGAAGCCAACGATAATGCCATATTGGGAAGCACATCGTGCATCTTAAAGAAGTCTTCACGTTTATCATATAATATTCTTGGAAGATCACTAATTTCCAGTAAGCATGCAAGTTTCAGACTTCCAACAATATATACTTTGTTTCGTGCAGAACTTATGTTATCAAAATATTCTAGAAATCCTTCTCCAATCCAAACTCCAAAGTTCAATAACATCATTTTTTTTTTTTTTTTTTTGAAATATATTGATCCTCTGGAAATAGGGAACAGTAAACAAAACAGGCTTTGAGGGTATCATCACTCAAGCTATCATAGCTTTTAAATGAAGTTATAACCAAAAGACAATCCATATAACCATTTGGGGTTAACCAAAATATCAAGCTTCACTTAAGCAAAAGTTTCAAACCGTAGAAAACACATGCTTCAGTTCGCACTTCTTATCATCTACCAACGGCATGCAAGTGGGAAATACAAGTTGCAAAACAGAGTACAAGCTGGCCTTATCATTAACTAACAGCATGCAAGTGGGAATACAAGTTACAGAAGTGAGATTACTTTTTTATTTCCATATAAGAGTTACAGAGCAATGATAGAGCATTCAGGCAACTCTAAAGCTTTTTAATTTTAATTTATTAACTACAGAAAATATAAAATTTGGAAGAAGTGTCTGGATTGTAGCGATAAGCTTTACGTGTCATCATTTGCTCAGAAATCAGAATTGAACAAATAACAATAATATTCACTTGGTCAAATGTATATAGTCAAATTGGATTTAGAGGAAATCAATATATTGATTGTTCAGTTTGATACAATTTTCTTATATCTGATATGATTGAATTGGATTAGATATTAATTTTGTATAAATTAGATTGAATTTTATATATATATATATATATATATTGGATTAGATTAAAAATTTAAAGTCCAGTAGATACTTGAATCGCAATAAATTTTATAAAAATTTTATTCTTTTCAAACTGACATTAGTACCTCTAGTACTATGAAACTCTGTCAAATATATCAATTTGGTAATAACTCTTGAAGACCAATTTCAGGTCTTTTATATTACTCAACAACTATACATAGTGTGCAATCAAAATATTAAATGATCTTTATATCTTCTGATAAATGTTGCATTAATAATGCACAACCACTTACCATTATTACTCTTACCTTTTTTATTAACATTATTATTATTATTATTATTATTATTTTATTTTTTTTGTTCAAGAAGATCAATAATAAATTTTTTATGTACATATAAAAATTTGCTAACCCTCCTGAAAATTAATTTTTGGTTTCTCCCTTGACTTATCTCAACTGAACTCCGAATAGTTTTTGTATGAAACTCACTCCCAAATCATCATTTTTACTAAGAATTGCTTAATTTTGTTTTTTATTTTCAGAAAAAAAATATATATACGCATAGAATTTGGTTTTAACTCTCAAATGCCAATTTCATGTCTTTACTATTACTCAACAACTATATATATAGTGTCATAAAATAGTAAATGATCTTTATACTTTCCTATATGTTGCATTAATAATACACAACTACTTATTGTACAAAATGGATCACCGCCACTAGAAACCCGAGCATTTTATGCATTGTTAGAGAAACAACATAGTGTCAGGAGTATGAACAATAGACTCAGGAAAGTTTGTAGGTGAAGAACCTAGCTAAAGTGTACGTGGGACCCAGAGTGGCGGTTGGTGTACAGGTAAAGTCCAGTAAATGAGAAGTATGCATGAAAAAATGATACCAAATATGCATGAAAAGTCCAATATATCATACCAAATTAAGTGGATCACCACCAATAAACACCTTAGCCATTTGCAGAAATAATGAATGGGCGGCTGAAGATCGACAAAGCCCAACAGAAAAGTATGAACAATGAATTTTAAAGTGTAATGTTCAACAAAGGAGAGAGCACTGGTTAGCTGTAAAGTCCGATAAACAGGAGTATGAACAATAAATTTTAGGAAATTTGTAGTTGAAGAACCTAAATTCCAATAAATGAGGAGTACGCATGAAAAATGAATTTAGGAATTTGTATTTGAAGAAGCTGAAGTATAATGTCCAATCTCTCAACTCAAAAACATGCTAGAAAATAGTTAATGTGCTTAGTTGCTTATCTCTTCTACACTGAAATTGTTGAGTGCAATGATATGAAATTGGACTTGCTTAAATTAGTTCTATTTGAAACTAAATTTGAATGAGGTAAGACTATCATTAATATTAATGTTTTCGCTTTCTCTTTTGCTTATGTTACATCCACTAAATAATGCTCATGGGACGTGGGCGGCCTAATATTGAATAAAAGATTCATAGTTGTATTTGAAACTAAATTTGAATTAGGAAACACTATCATTAATATTAATGTTTTCTTTTTCTCTTTTGATTCTGTTACAACCACTAAATATAATACACGTGGGGCGTAAGCAGCCAAACATTGAATAAGAGATTCAAATAGTGTACTCTCGTATTTGCTTATTAAATAATAACATACTTTATTAGATCTTTTAAATAACAATTTCTAAGTAAATCGAGCAACGGAATACATACATTCGAAATAAATAATATAGGAATAAAATCAAACCGTACAAAGAGATACAATATTTATGTAGTTCGACATAACTGGATATAAAAAAATTCACTATAGTTTCATGAACACGATATACAAAAATACAAAACACCATAAACGCAGCATATAATTAACAGAGCGGAAATAATCCTAGTTTTTAATTACACTGAACCAAGTATCTAGAGTAAAAACAATCTCAGTTCTTTAGACACTCTACTCATAATGTTTGATAACTCTTATATCAAATAACTTGTGTTTTCATATTCTCTAATAACCTTGAATTGATATTCACTCTTATATTTATAGGTAGTATATGAGATATTCTATTTCTTATTGGATTCATATTTCAATTTCTAATAAGATTCTCATAATTCAGTAGACTTTAACACCCTAAACGACAGTGTTTTAGGTGTTAATTATTTGAGCTAAACGACAGCGTTTCCTTCAATAACTTTGGCACTTTGTCATTTGTCCAACATCGTGTTAGTCATACCGTAAGTTGATATAACTATGTCACTTGTAATTTTTTTTGAAACTATCTTGACAATTAATATGATTGGTAAATTATTAAACCAAAATAACATGAACGTATCGGTTTGTTTATGGTATCAATAGTGTGGTAACTACTACGTCACCTACTCTCTTTTTACAATAAATTACCCTAGACATAAATGTCAGGATATTGATGGCTTCATCGAAACACTATATAATAACACACTCGCACTCACCCTCTCACACTCTCATATGCATGCTGTTAGGCGAAGTGAACTAAATAATGGCTTCTAAACCAGGAATTCTCACTGATTGGCCATGGAAGCCTCTCGGCAACTTCAAGGTTTTACTTTAAAGTAAACCTTATTTTATCATTTTTTTTTGGCTTTCTATTTGACTAACTCCTTTCATTGTTATTTGATTGATGTGATGAACATTTACAGTATATAGTTTTGGCTCCCTGGGTTATTCACAGCATATACTCATTCATAGTGAAGGATGAGAAGGAGAAAGACCTCTCAACCTTGCTCTTATTCCCACTTATTATATGGCGATTTCTTCACAATCAGATATGGATTAGTCTCTCTCGTTTCAGGACAGCCAAAGGCAGAAATAGAATCCTTGAGAAGTCCATTGAATTTGAACAAGTTGACAGAGAAACAAATTGGTCAGTAAATAGACAAATATATCCTTTATTAAAAGTCACTTTATAGGAGTAAAAGAGAAAAAATTAAGTTTCTTGAGAGGGGCCTCTCGCACTAATATAATGTTTAATCTTCGCCTACTAGCTTAATCTTTTAAAACTTTTCCAACTTCAGATCTTCCTCCTTACCGGTTTATTCAAGTTTTTTTTTAGCTTGAATTGAAGTATTCTTCGCTCATGCATGCATTAAGCCTTTTTTTTCTCTTCTCTTCTTTTTATTCTCTTCAATAAATTTTAGAGATCTATCGCTGTTCAAACAAAAAAAAAAAAAAAAAAATCAAACTATAAATCATAATCTACATAAGACGTCCGTACCTGAAAAATTGTGTTACTATCTATAAGTATACTCTATAGTACTTATGTATGTGAAATTAATCTTATATTAATTACAGGTTCTATTATCACTACAAACCATCTGATTAAAAAATTTTGAGTTTTTTTCTATTGGATGTTGGCAGGGATGACCAAATATTGTTCAATGGATCCCTAATATATGTTTTAAGCAAGACACTTCCCGGGGGAACTCACGTGCCAATCTGGAGATTAGATGGTGTAATTCTCACTATTCTGCTACATGCTGGTCCAGTGGAGTTTCTTTACTACTGGTTTCACAGAGCCCTTCATCACCATTATCTTTACTCTCGCTACCATTCTCATCACCATTCCTCCATTGTCACTGAGCCCATCACCTGTAATTCTCTCTTGATTTTCAGTTTTGATTTTATATTTGCTTGTTTTTTCTCACTTATGTCTACTGTCTGTCTCTCCTGCGGACATCCTGATTTGTAAGATATTTTTGTCTTTGCGTTTGTGTGGCAGCTGTGATTCATCCATTTGCAGAGCACTTAGTATATTCCATTCTATTCGCAATACCGATTTTTACAACAATCCTCACTTGTACTGGTTCCGTGGTATCTGTCTTTGGTTACATTACTTACATCGACTTCATGAATAACATGGGACACTGTAATTTCGAGCTCATTCCCAAGTGGCCTTTCTCCATTTTTCCACCTCTCAAGTTCCTCATGTACACTCCTTCGTAAGTCTCTCTTAGCTCTCTCTAATTAACTCACAATAAACAAATATGATTTGTCCTGACGGAAAAATTGTGTCGCGAAACTATCGTATAATGAGTGTGTTATATATATGAGAATTTTCAATAATCATATCTATACGTGTGTTGGAATAATATTAATATTAAACTCTTTTCTAATAACTTAAACTTTTAGATCAAATTATTAACTTAATATGTTACCAAATCTCCGTATGGTTCCTAATCCCCACATGTGACCAATACATCTTGTTTATTATACATATTATATGAATCTAGAGTGATGCTACTATATAGATACATTAAATATGCAGACTCATCAATCGCGTATACAACCTTAATTTGGTTGACATTTTATTCATCTACATTTATTATGAGTCAACTTTTTATATACACCAAATAACTCATTTCGTGTCATGTCAATTTGTATACAGGGGTCATACATATAGTATTATTCATGATTTATCTTTTGTTGGGTTGTTCTTTAATGCTCTAATTGAGATTAACTTTGAATTAATGCCACAGGTTTCACTCCCTTCACCATACACAGTTCAGAACCAACTACTCATTATTCATGCCTCTATATGATTTTATATATGGTTCCATGGACAAATCTTCAGAAACATTATATGAAGATTCATTGAAGAAGAAAGAAGAATTCCCTGATCTAGTGTATCTAACCCACTTGACAACTCCCGAATCAATCTATCATCTACGGCTAGGATTTGCTTCCATAGCAGCTCAGCCTCAATCATCATCATCGAAATGGTATATGTGGTTGATGTTGCCTGTGACCTTATGCTCCATGATGCTCACTTGGATTTGTGGTACTTCTTTTGTGGTTGAGAGGAACCGTTTTAGTGACTTCAAATTGCAAACATGGGTCATACCTAAATACAATTTTCAAGTAAGAGAAGCCTCAATTTCTTTGTTTCTTAACTTGGGCGAATTTCTTTGACCTCCCATAAGGTTTGTAAATAATTTAATCAAACGCACACCCTCTAGTTTTGAGGTGGTCGATCGTCTCTGACCTCCTTCATTGCTAAGAAATCCTTATTAGACCTTTCCCGTGTCTTAACAAAAATTATTTAAGTTATTTAAGCGATATTTCCTTAAATATGAGAGATCAACAAACAGTTGGATAATTCCTTGGCTTAATGTCATAGCATATTTTGATTGCAGTACTTCTTGCAATGGCAAAGTGAATCAATCAATAACTCGATTGAAAAGGCCATACTAGAAGCAGAGAAAAAGGGTGCTAAAGTATTGAGCCTGGGACTCTTGAATCAAGTAAGTATTTCAAATTCCAATTCGGTTAGAATGCAATACCATCCATTGTATTTAGAAAATTTTAAAATATACCAAAAAAAAAAAAATTATTGTTTTTAAGTTTAAATAAATCAAATTTTCAGGGTCAGGAGCTGAACATGTATGGTGAGCTATTTGTCCAAAGGCATCCTCAGCTCCAAATAAAAGTGGTAGATGGAAGTAGCCTTGCTGTTGCAGTTTTGCTCAATGTCATACCTAACGAAACAACCCAAGTGGTGCTTAGAGGCACTCTCACTAAGGTCGCGTATGTTATTGCTCTCACTCTTTGTCAACGGGGTATACAGGTATATATTACTCAAATGACAGGATATGTTCATCTAATTTAAAAATTTCTATAAAAACAAAAATTGTATATTATGACACAAATGAATTTGTGTTGTAGGTGGTAACTTTACGAGACGATGAGCACGAGGAGCTAAAGAAATCGTTTGGTAAAATCCAGTACAAATCTAACTTAATCCTTTCAAGAAGTTACTCTCAAAAGGTGATCAAATCAATCTATGAATTTTGATTTCTTTATAGCCTCAATTATCATTAATTTATTATTAATAAAGTGTTGGTTTTTATGGTTAGTGGGAGATGGATTGTCTAAAGGAGAACAAATGAAGGCAAAGAAAGGAACAATATTCATTCCATTCTCACAATTCCCACCAAAGAAAATAAGAAAAGATTGCCTCTATCACTTGACACCAGCAATGGAAACTCCTTTGGCTCTTGAGAATGTTGACTCCTGTGAGGTTAGTGGTTTATATCAACCAAATTTAGTTTAAGTTTTCTTAATTATCTATTTTGCTAATTTAAAGTTTACATTAAAAATGGAATAGAATTGGTTGCCAAGAAGGCTGATGAGTGCATGGCGAATTGGAGGGATAGTGCATGGCTTAGAAGGATGGAAAGAGCATGAATGTGGAAACTCCATCTCCAACATCCACAAAGTTTGGGAAGCAACTCTTCAACGTGGTTTTCGACCTCTAATTCTCCCAAATCAATCAAAATTTTAGCTTCGTTATAGAGTTATTATCTCGTGAGTTTATTTTATATATTTATATATGAGTCATGATGTTGTATTACTTTAAAAGAGAATTAAGAAGAGTCGTGTCTAAATAAAAGAATTGTGTTTTATTCTCGAATTTATTAGAAAAATGTAACTCAATTTAGAAGTTTGAAGAAATGATATGATTAAATTAACTACCCCTGGGTGGCCGGGTAAGGCAATAGAAATTTTTTGGTATATTACTCAAAAGGTCTTGAGTTCAATTCCCCTCAATTGCTAATAAGGATGAAAATTGGAAAGTTTACTCAATCGTTAACTTCAGGGCCTCGGAAGATTAATCGGTTGTTAATTAGGGTGGCCTCTAGAGAGTTTAAACGAACGTTAACTTTAAGACAAAAAGGAATTAGGCTTTTAAGGTTGTTGTAACTTGTAAAAGAGTAATTATCATGTAGTGACAATTTTAGCAATATTTTAATAAGAATTTTTTTTTCATCGCAAATTGAAAAAAAAAAAATACTTGATGGATAATAAAATCATAGAATGGAAATGACAACCAGAAACCAATTTCATATCTATAATATTTCTCAACAACTATATAATTTCATAAAATATTAGATTGTTTGATCTCTCATATTAATCTTGTCAATGTTGATGAAGAAGATAAATAACTGGTTTAATTTTGTTATATACATCTACATTGTTCTTATCAAAATATATTAGAACAATACTTTTTACCCATCTACTCTGCAAATTAAACCTGATCTTGCACACTCATCTTATTTTAGATTTCTTTAAATTTAAAAAACTGGCCTTGTTCCTTGAACACCTTGTATCTTGTCATGGCTATTGAAATTTTAATACTGTTAGTCTTGTCTCTTACCTTACTTATGTCTCATCACAGTTTATTTGAAGGAATAATACTACATATATAATATTTTTATACAACATGATGTGAAAAAAGATGATTGGATGAAAGTTTATTTTTAATTTAAAACTAATCAATCATCTTTTATCACATCATGTTGTATGAAAATATTATATGTATAGTATAATACTTATTTGAAGTGTAAGATTTTATATTAGTGTATTTGGAAATTTTTTATATTTATCTTTGTCAATTCAACGATTTATGGCTCGATTTGGCTTTATCCAATTTGATTGAAAATTGATTGTTGAATACTGGAATTTTTGTATAAACAACCCCATTGTTCGTTTTGTAAGGGGTACAATTGAATGAGAAGCAATGAGCTCCTTCAAGTAGGGGTGTTCAAAACCGGTTAATCAGTCTGAACCCCCCTTTTTTTGAACCGAACCGAATTTCCGGTTTAGAAAAATTCTTGAATTGGAACAGAACTAGTTTTAGAGACAAACCGGTTTTTGGTTCGATTCTGTTTGTTTTGGTTTAGGGATTTTTTTGAACAACCCTACTTCAGGTTCTCACATCTGTCCATAATATCAATTTAGTCCATCATATTTTATATTCTCATTAATTATTCTATGACAAAAAGGTTTTGAACGAACTTCATATATTTTATTAATTTATGAACCACCCTTTGATCTACTACATCGTTGCCATTAACTAATCAGAAAGGATACAGTCACCGAAAATTATACACCAAATTTATGCACCGAATGACGTAACAAAATTCTGACTGTCAATTAATATTAAATTAAAATTAATCAACGGTCAAGATTTTATCATGTCATTTGGTGTATAAATTCAGTGTACTACTTCGGTGATTGTAGCATTACTCTTAACTAATAGCGAGTCAAAGACACTGTTGATTAACGAAAATTCCTTATTGCCATTACTAGACGGCGCAAAATGGTTATGACTGGGTTCCGTTAAATAACGGTGATTGCCTACTTTTTAACTAACTGTGTCAAATGTTAACTGTTAAATAACGGCGTATTCCTTACGGACAAGTGAGGGTGAATTACCTTTGCCGTTAAGTAATGCCATCAGGTAATGGTATTTCACAGATACATCGAGTAATCGGTACTTCACTCTCACTGTTATGTAACCGATACCATGAAGCATACAATTGCAGTCACCATTAAATAACTGCTACAAATAAGTAATACTGACCACTGCCTTAAAAATTGTTCGACATGAACCCTTCGATGCTCGAATGAGTAAAGGTGTTTGAACGCTGGAGAGAAAAGATGTCTCGAATACATATTGATGCTTCCACCATTTCTGACAAATGTTGCGGCAGAAGTGACCAAATATACAAGCAACAAAATGCAAATGGCAAAGCAATTTGCAAACCAAACTCTGAGAGTACAAATTTTTCCTGGAAATTTGGCTTCCACATTAAACAAAATGCATTTCAACAAACTTTTTCATACAAATTCATCTGTAACGCAGGGAAATTAACAACATCGTCATACATTCTAGTTGCTCTTAAAATGAAGCAATCGAAACTTCATTCTAGTTGCTCTTAAAATCAAGCAATCGAAACTTCATTCTAGTTGCTCTTAAAATCAAGCAATCAAAACTTCATCCCACAACGCATATTGAATATGCGTAAGTCTAACTATTTTGATCAAGTTGGACAGGTTCCTACTACATTCTTACTTCCAAAATTACCCATACAATCTTAAATGACAAATTAATAGGAAAAACCTTGACTACAGATGATCAGTAAAATTTGGATGACATTTATGCTCCATCAGCTAATGTCCTCTTCGATGTACTAATGTAAAGAACTGCACAAAAGAAATAAAATACCCAATTATTGCCAGTGCAAATAACTGTTACTGGTAAATTACAAGTACATAATGCCATAGTTATTACCATTATTTCCACGAATGAATGCGTCACCATATTTATTCTTCAACTGCCCATTGACGTACTCTTCTGTTTGCTCCATTGCAATATTCATGTATCCATCCAGACAAGCTAGAATACCTGCATGAAAGGGCAAACCGTCAAGACATATACTAATCTTTTCTGCAATGATAACAATATAATTAGGAGACTAGTTATACATAAATGTATCCTGACTGTATTTGTTCTGACTTCTCAAAGTTCTCAAACTTAGTTACTACAGTAAGCGTAATTACCTGGTGCAACTAATCCGAAAGAGAACCGATTAATGATAACAATATAATTAAGAGATTTGTTACACATAAATGTATCCTGACTGTATTTGTTCTGACTTCTCAAAGTTCTCAAACTTAGTTATTACAGTAAGCATAATTGCCTAGTGCAACTAATCCGAAAGTGAACCGATTAAATAATTTCTGTTTATTTTCTACATAATTTGTACTCAGAACAGTATCCACAACCTCATACATTCATTTGATATGAAGGCTTTAATTCCTTGAATTAGAATCAGAAGGTTATCTATGTCATTCATATCAAGAACCATTTCATTTTAATAGAAGAAGAAAGAATTATTGAAACTATTGTTTGAGTTCAAAAATATCTTAGTTATTCAAAAACATCCACTAAAAGGAAGTTCAAAAACAGAGGCTGTGTATCCATATCTTGATTTTCACAAGAACAAATCTCAAGGATACAGGTCGTGAAAATAATACCAAACTTCACACCCTAAAAGAATGATTACCTTTACAATTTATCCTCAGATTCAAACTAGAAGAAATGAGGGGAAAAAGTAAGAAAACAGAGATAGACAACAAAAATGTCAGAAGACTGACCTCTATAATCAACCCCAGAATTGAGCTTTACAACAACCGGTCGTCCACGGATAGATTTCAGGAAATCTGCTGGCGTTTTTGTAGTTGCTGATCCTTTCTCTCCTCCAGTACTCATCTTTGCTGTACTAAAATTTTAATTTTGCTACCCAATAAATAATGGGAAAAGGAAAAAAATAAAAGACTAAATAAAACAATAAAGAAAATTTGCTTCCACTCATTCTTAAACCCAAACTTAAAGATAAAATCACAATCCACTTTTTATAAAATTCATATAATCCAAATTGCACATCGTCTACACACAAGTGTTTGATGATACCAGTTATGCTGAAATATTATCACATTGTCAAAATCTCGCAAGTTATATATGGTGTTCAAGACTACTGCACAACTTCAAACCCGATGCACACATCTACTCACAACTATCTCTATAATCCCCACTAAGCCAAAATACAATCACATTTTCAATATCTCGCAAGTTAAAAATGGTGATTGACACTAGTACACAGTTTCAAATCATATGCACACACCTACACACAACTGTCAATAATCCCAAACAAGCCGAAATAAAATCAAATTTTCAATATCTCGCAAGTTATACATGGTGTTCAACACCAGTACACAGTTTCAGATCAGATGCCCACGTCTACCCTCAACTGTCTAAATAATCCCAACTACACCGAGAAACAATCACATTTTCAATATCTCACGCGTTATATATGGTAATCGACACTAGCACTCAGCTTCAAACCTGATGCGTGGTCTAGACTTTCCGGGATATGAAACCCCACCCCCCCCCCCCCCCCCCCCCCCCAAAAAAAAAAAAAAAAAAAACCAATAAATAATACATAAGACCAAAAAATATTCAACCCATCTTAGGAGTTAAATAGAAGAACTGATTGGACCATATTAAAGGTAAAGCTGGCTCAACCCTAAGACTGAAAAAGGCCACGCTATACAACTTGGAAACTTTTAACACCCAACACAAAATCATCCTGAGACCCATTTTGTGAGTTCAAGTTTCAATAGATTCAACTAGGTTGTACGTAATTAAATTAACCTAATTCAGGGTTTCGGAGCTCAATTTAAAAGTGAGCAAATTTGAAAACAGAGAAGAGTTCGTTCATTTGAGTTTATAAACAGAAAAATAAATAAATTCAAGAATTCATGCAAACCCAATTCATTAAATTTATATCAGATTGTGTTCTAGAATCAAAACATATAAAATACGCCGAAACAACAAAACCCAAATCAAAACAAAAACAAAAGAAAAAAAAAATGAAAGACACAAAACAGAAGCAAAATCAGAAGCTGGTGTAAATCTAAAGAGTATTAGAAGGGCGTTACCTGAGAGAGCACTAACTTTCGAGAGAGGGAAAAAGGGAAGAAGTGAGAGGCTCAAATGTGGGATTTCAATTGAGGAGAGTTAGGGTTTTCAACTGCAACTAAATTTCTGAAACTACGGGAAGGTTGCATTTACTAAGAATGAATATATATAAATTATAGTAAATACAAAATACAATAAATGCTCGGGTGTGAAATGTAACTTTTTAGGAATTTCGGGTTGAATAATATTTCCATAACTTGAGGGAAAATTTTATTTAACACTACTTAAGACATATTGCATATGATTATTATCTATAAACATATATCATTTTTTTCATATTTTATTTATTTATTCTAATATAATAAATCATGATGTTCGTTATAGAAGAAAAATAAAATAAATACATAAATAATGAGTTATCATCAGACTGATAATGAATGGGTAAAAATATTACTCAAGACATCTCATTTTTTAAGAGTAATTTTTCATGTTGATACACCAAAATTCATCCAAGAAGATCATGTAATTTCATCACACGAGACATACACACACCACGTTATTAGATGACTGTTGATGCATTGAACGATATTTTTTTTATTGTTTATTTATATATACAATTGTATCTTCTAATTTGTATTCAACTTGTTTTTTCTTTTTTTTTTACCACTAATAGTTTTATTGTTTAATTTATCTAGGTTTATCAAAAGTCAACTAGGTAAAGTTACTTCTTATCATAAATGAATCCATTCCTAAAGAGAAATTCTTTAATGATGTACTTTGAAGTCTATTCAATTTGATTTATAATTAGGGTAAGAAAAAAGGAAAAACAAAAAATATATAATATATATATATATATATATTTTTTTTTTTTTTTTTTTTTTTTTTTTTTTTTGCAAAACAAAGAATTTATGAATATAGAGAGTTTCAATAAAAAAATCCAATATTCTATTTTTCTTTTTAACGTTATCTCTTCTCTCTTATAAAATAAAAACTTCATTTTAAATCAATATTTTTATCACGGGATTAAACGAAAATGGCATATTTGAGACAAGTTCTCTCTGACAAACAAAATAAGTGGTAATTTTGAATGGATTTTACGGGTTACGTAAGTGATAAATTTCGTATTTTCATTTATGCTAAGGCGCTTTCATTTTTCCTATTTTCCAATATTTAAAAAAATTAAAAAGACAAAAATTTTACAAACAACATACCCTTAAACTTTACCCATCTTGAAGGAAACCCACAAGAATCCCCAAATCAATCAATGAATCTTGTCAAAGTGACTAATCTGGCGACCAAATCTACCCCCTACAATCATGGAACCAAATCAAACCAAACCAGTTAAAACTGAAGCAGATTCACAGTATCTCATATGTTTCATAAACTAAACTTCAAACCCTTTCTTCACCATCTTCATCTTCCCTTCACTTCTCTCTAAACCATGATGAAACCCCTCACAAAACCACTTCCCCACCATTGGTTCAGACTCACCACAACCATTTCAAGATTCAACCAATCACCTCTTCAGTCAAAACAGCCAAACCCCACATTCAATTCATTGTCATCTTCCGATTTTGTCACCACCCACTTGTGTATTTCATCAAAAGAATCAAAACTCAATGGAGCAAGATCAGTCTCATTGCTCAAACATCACTTGAATCATGAATTTAGGAATACACAGATGGGGTATTCATGTAATGATTGGAACTTTGGGTTAAGAAACAAGTCTTGTCAGCAAAGGAGGTTGTTTTCAGAGACAATTTCGGACCCTTATTCCAAACCAACAGAACCCAGTTTATCTTCTTCAAATTCAAGTGCTTTTTCAACTACAAATCCTCAATTTGAGAGCTCATCACAGCAGCCTATAGATGCAGGCTCTTCAATTAGAAAACCAATCAGTTTGTGGCCTGGAATGTACCATTCACCTGTAACAAATGCTTTATGGGAAGCAAGATCAAGGATGTTTGAGAAGCCAGGGGAAAAGCCAATTGATTCAGTTTCTCAAAGTGAATTAGAAGCCAAAACTCCATCAGAGAGCAGGACTACTATTCTTTATAAGTTTTCAAGTGATTTTATACTCAAAGAGCAGTATAGGAATCCTTGGGATGAGATTAGAATGGGGAAGTTGCTTGAGGATCTTGATGCTCTTGCTGGAACCATTTCATATAAGGTACCAAGTTCTTTAAGACTCTTCTGAATTCTGAAAAGAGTTCTTTTAAGGGAATTTTTTTTTTTTTTTTTTTTTTCTTTTTGGCTGGTGATAATTACTTGTTCTGGATTTAGATTTTTATTGGCTTGTATTTTGGTAGTTGTGGATTAAAAATTTTGAGTTATTGTACAAAATTAGTCCTTGACTGGTGTCTCACATAAGGAGCTTCTGCCATGTCTAAGATTTGTGCATTTCAAACCTGAAGATGTTTTAGGAGATGCATTATTATTCAGCTAAATCCTTCTATTATAAAGTATGGCTGGTGCCTTCTCAATGTGTTTTGATGGTTTTAATTCAATTTATTAGTTCCATTTCCTATTCACAAAATGCTCTTTATGATTCGTGGCCCTAAAATATGTTTCACCATTGCAGCTTAAAATGCAGTCTTCCGAAGTAGATTTTGGTTATTTATAATTAATAGGGAAGACAAGTTCTTTCAAATAAGCATGCTTTCCTGGCCATTGGGGGGTTCTGATTATTTGATATGAACTGTGAGTTGCTAATGCCACAACGAGTTCATTGTTGTTATGTAAATTATGCAAAACAATTCAAATCTTTTTAATTAGTTCATTTGATTATGCACCAGCACTGTTGCAGTGATGATGGTGCAACAAGGCCTATATTATTGGTCACTGCTTCTGTTGATAGGATGGTGATGAAAAAACCAATCCGAGTTGACACTGACTTGAAAATAGCCGGAGCCGTTACCTGGGTTGGGCGGTCATCCATGGAGATTCAACTTGAAGTGACTCAGTCCACTGAAGGTACTCCAAAATAGTTAATGGTTATTTGCATCATCTTTGTTTGGGTTGTAGATTCTAGTTATTCGCTACACCTTTCATTGTTTTTTTTCAGTGCCCTGCTATCTAATATACTTTTTTCTGGTAACCATGCGCTTCAAAGTGGAAATGGACCAAATATACATTTTTATTTAGTAGAAGAATTTAAGTCTGTTTCTTATGAAGAACTTAGTAGGAGAATAAATAAGACATTAGCAAACATAGATCTCATTTGAACTAATCGTATGATATGACTGTGAGCTTTGTAATAATATAAGGTAAAGATAGCAACGTAAAATATTATCTGGAACTGGAAATGTGTCCAGTCGACAACCGAGTTGATTATAAAACTTAGTGGAAGAATATAACAAAATTTTCTTGACATGCGTTACATTTTGTCTGAATAACGTGTCCTCATTTCACACAATATTCATGTATCTTTCAGATCTTAAAAGTCCTAACTGGATTTAGTTGCTGCATTGTGCTATGTTTAATAATAAAACTTGTTTTGCATATACTGCAGACTCATCAGAAAACATTGCTCTTGTGGCGAACTTCACATTTGTGGCTCGTGATTCCAAGACAGGAAAATCATCTCCGCTTAACCAGATCTTGCCCGAGACCGAAAAAGAGAAATTGCTTTGGGAAGAAGCGGAACAAAGGAACAAAATGAGGAAACAGAAGAAAGCAGAAAATCGAATGACTATTGGAAATGAGGACAAAGACAGGCTTAATGCATTGTTGGCTGAAGGGCGAGTCTTTTCTGACATGCCAGCATTGGCAGATAGAGATAGCATTCTTATAAGGGATACCTATCATGAGAATTCCTTGATGTGCCAGCCACAACAGAGGAACATTCAAGGTCGGATATTTGGAGGATTTTTGATGCGTAAAGCATTTGAACTGGCCTTTGCAAATGCTTATGCATTTGCTGGCTCAGCGCCACGCTTTGTAGAAGTTGATCATGTTGATTTTGTTAAGCCTGTGAGTACCCGCTTTCCTATTGCTAACATCTAAGATAATTTATTGTGACTGCTCTTGTTCGATTTACAACTTCGTCTGAGAGTGTCTTAAATTTCCTTTTAAGTTTCTCTCTCTTGTTCGATTTACAACTTCGTCTGAGAGTGTCTTAAATTTCCTTTTAAGTTTCTCTTTCTGAAAGGGAGAAAGGTATTCTGATTGATAAGAAAGTGGTGTTACTATTGTACACACAAGTGATGTTGGTGAATTTAGATGTTGGAGTCTTGTCATAGGTTAGAAATTGAATGTCAATTCATCTACTTCGTTAAAGATTGCAGATTTTGCAAAAGGGGAGCGAGTAAGAGATTACTCATCAATGTTGATAGTCAAAGACAGACAATTAATTTATATGGCTGGAAATTTTGCCCTTTAAATAAGTTCCGTTGGTTGGGGCACTGGCAGTGAGCAGGAATTATTGCTTAATTTTCTTAATATACTTCTGCTGATGCAGGTGGATGTCGGAAACTTTCTCCGTCTCAAGTCTTGTGTTTTATATACCGAACTCGAGGATCAGGCCAGACCTCTGATAAATGTGGAAGTTGTAGCTCATGTGACAAGGCCTGAGCTCAGAACCAGCCAGGTGAGCACCTAAATTCAAATTTATAAGAACTAGAACTGCACTGTTCATCATCAATTATTTCAAGTGTTGGGTTAAACACAAGCCATTTCCCATCCTGATAAAAATTTGATGCAAATCCTGGTATGCAGTAATTATTTGTTTTTAATTTACCTACTTTTTTTGTTTTATTGTTCCGTGCCCTATCATTTGAGCAGTTATCAAATAAATTCTACTTCACATTTACCATCCGTCCCGAGTCAGTGAAAGATGGAATGAGCATCCGGAACGTTGTACCTGCCACAGAAGAGGAAGCGCAGCGGGTGCTGGAACGTATGGATGCCGAGAGCTCCCAGTTGACAAAAACATAACCAAGTTTCTTTCTGGCAAAGTAAGACAAGGATTAACCAAAGAACCAGGGTTTGTTCTTAAGTTCTACAAGTTCTATTTTTTTTTCTATAAAGAAATAATATTATTCTTTTATTTTTTTCCTTTTTTGTACATTAATTTTTGCCTTTTATATAAATTATACTAGCCATATCATATTGGTAGTATCCCTTTCGTAACATAAAAGTAGAACCCAATCAAATTATAACTTCCAATAATGCATGTATGGAGAAGGGTTTCAAAATTCAGGATCAAATGTAGAGTTCATGAATAACCAACAATGGATTAATCAAGTGATATAGGTTTGGGGTCAGTTTTTAATTCGAATCACAAGAAATGTTGTTAATATTGTCGACAAACCGTAAGATTTGCTCTATTTTGAAAGTTTTGTTCAAGGTCAAAGGACTAGTTGAAGTACATATAAACTGGTCCAAGTATTCATCAGCGTTCTCTCTTAAAATATTTTAAGAGAGAAGGTTTAATGAAACAGACATGGTCGACCCTCTCATAACAGTTCATAATACAAATCAGTGGTACATTCATGTGGTTTGAAGAGTTTTGCCATTCAGTTCTTTTAGAAAGCAGGATGCTTTTAACAAGTCCCTGCACTGAAAATTTTCCACCTAATGCTCTCATTCAAGCGTTCCACAGCAAATTTTCTGCATACTTCATGTCCCTTAAAACCATTAGTAATGTTCAACCACAGCAAATTTTCTGCATACTTCATGTCCCTTATAACCATTAGTAATGTTCAACCTAGTAATAATCAATCTTGGTTTTAACTTTTTTTCGCAATTCTTACCTATAGATGTCCTAATTTTTTGTTTAATGCAGACTAAAAACTGATGACAAATTACCAACTTAACTAAATGAAAAATCCAAACCAACGACTAATTACCAGCCTTCTGTCTACTAAACCTTTTTATACCCACAAATAACTTATCAGTCTAATTTTTCTGGGAACAAAATCAACAGTGAAATGAGAAAAGGCAAATGAGAACGATTGCTGTTGCCTCTTTTGCTGAACAAGCAGAAGCTTGGATTCAGATTCTGACAGATTTACAAGATCAAGTCCTAGTATTCTGGCAAATACTACCTTATTACTTCCTTACACAAGATAACACAATTCCAAAATTCTGTATTGAGAATATATAGATATATAGATATATATATATATATGTTATATTTATATAAGTACACAAAAAGGCAGCTACTTGGTAAGCTACATCGGAAAGCCAACCTGTTTTCACCACCAATTCCTGATAAGCACCCAGGTGAGCTTACAGAAATGCAGAAAAAGAGTCACCTGAGGCCAGGATCTGACACTAAGATGAAGTTGAGCCTTCGTCATCTGAGGAACCATGATGTTGCCTTTCACTGAATACAGGAAAAGCCAGCGGCATTGTCGGATTTGCTGGCATAGGTCGGACTGAACTGTATATTGTTCTTTCATTGATCTTGCCAACTTCCTTGCATACCTGATCAAGGATAGAAAGGAAGTCCTTTACAACCATGAAAATCCGGAATGGATGAGCTTCTTCCTTTGCCGAGTTCCCATGGAAATACTCAGTTATTTCCTTCACCATAGAGAGGGCCGCACACTCTTGGGCTTGGATGCTTACAATATCTTGTTCTGCCTTCTTCAAGAAGGCATTCATTGACTCAGAAAATTTTCAACTGCTTTCTTTAAATGGAATTTCTTCGTTTAACTTCACCACTTCCATAATCTTTCTGATTCCAGCAGCAAGTTTTGCAACTTCATTGCTAAGCACATCAGAATCCATAGCAGCAGCCTTTTTCACATTGGTGAGCTCCCCACACAGACCCGAAACAACCTGCAGGCCAAGCTTCCTGAATTGAACATCATCCTGAAAACTAGACTGCTCTGTTTTCTCTGCTTTCTTATTCTGATTGGCACCAGAAAGACGAGAACCTTCAGCTCTGATTATTTCCTGTACGACAAAATGCAGGAGAGTTGTTTTCCCATCAGCGCCCTTAACATCAACAAGCTTTAGCAGCGTGTCCAGCTTGAAGGCTTGTGCATCCCCACGATTAGTGCCAACATTCATGCGGTTCCCAGTTTTCAGCACTGCTTCTAAAAGCTTCAAGAACATTCTGCTATTCCTTAACTCTTCACTAGCTGCCTGCACAAAGAGAAAACATATGTAAGAAGCAGCTTGAAAATGAATGCATACGGTATATGCAAAACTCTTCATGTATCAATTCAAATAAAGACACTAGCATCCATGGTGGATAAGAACAACTGGTAGTTGAGGATGGCAGTCTAACATCATAACATTGAAACGGATTTATTACCAGCACCCTGGAAATTTAATATTATAATACAAATATATGAGGCTAATTTGTCAGATACTTTTCTCTCTCAATACACCTCCATCAACACAAGTGCCTTCACTTAAAATGAAAAAGAATTTCCTAGATTTGAGTTTCTAGCAATAGAAGCAGTAGGAAGAAGATTCACTTCAAGCATTTTCATTTACCATATGAAAGATTTGCAAACATAATTCAACACAATGATCTCAAGCATTAAACCATTGATTGAGATCACTGACAATATCAGCTGAAATGGTTCCACTAAGACTACGTCTTTGAATGATGGTAAAAGGAGAGAGAAGGACCAGGAGATTACAGTTGACTTCTATCACAAGCTCAAGCTCATCATATGCTTTCTAAATGCCAAAATTGATTTGCTTCAAAAAGAAAAACAGTTGCTATAAAGAGGAAGAATATTGAAATTCATTACTAATCCCCATTCTTTAACTTCTGACGTCTTTTTAAGCACTTGTAATTCATTCTCCAGCCTCTCAGATAAGCCTTCATGGCATAAGGAATTTCACATTAACATAAATAAAAATTCAAGGTCAGACTGCTTCCAGGAAATGGAACAGTAACGTTCACGTGACATGTTTGATAGGTTCCAATTTGGAATTATCCTAACCAAACTTGAAACACAAATAACTTAACCAAATATGAACATATGTGCATGCATGCGCAATAGATAGGGGAAACAGAAAATATTTACCTGTAAGGTTTCGAAAGACCTTTTAAGGTACTCAACTTCTGAGTCAAAATTAGCAATATAAAGCATAGCATCTATCCTCATAAATGCAAAAGGTATGTCAAGCACTGCCCTCAGAAATTTCTCAGCAGGACCTAACTTAAATGGCGATTCATCTTTGAACTCTTTTATCTTTCGTTCTTCTTCTTTGGTTGGAGCCATCTTTAATAAACTTTCCAGGAGCTCTGTCCCCAGTGTATCTGAATTGCCTGTGCATAAGCATAGAAAGTTTTAACAATTTAGAAGCATAAGTTATTTGTCAACATTATTCCAAAACAACATAAGCAATCAAAAAAGAGCAGCAAATACATAATGTTTCAGTGCCTTCCTGGTTGTTTTATTTCCTCGAAACTATGCACTGAGTTGTTCAACAGTACCGGGATAAACATCCCGACATTGATGCTCTGCATTAGTTATGACCATTGACGAGGATTATCTCACCCATATCCACAAGTTCACAAGAACCCTATGTCAATACAAAGAGTCATTCTAGAAATTGTTTGAGAAATCTCTTCAATCACTTGATTCACTTAGACAGGGACTATGGAAGGGTCATAATGCAACTTTTGAAAAATGAAGAAACCAAAAACTCGAAATGGCTTTTGCTCCAAAAGATAATAATAAAAATTTAACATGTAAAACTACTAGCTAATACAATTATGGACTCAACACTAAATAAATTGCTGTTTAAATCAAACTGCCTGTTTGAGCAAACAATAGACTTTCAAATGGTTTATCAAAGCAAAGATTTACTTTCAAGACTATGCCGTAACATCAAGATCACTTTATGATTTTTCATAAATGTAACAACTATACCTTCCAAAAGAGCTTCACAGACTTCATCAATGGTAACATTGAGTGCCCTAAGCAGAATTGCAATATTTTGAGATTTCTTGGGATCAAGCACCCGATTCTCCTGATTAGGAGTCGGTAGAAACTGTTTCCTACCATTATCTTTTGTATTCAAGGCGGAATTATTCACCATAAACAGAGTCTCAATCATTTCCTCATTCAATCTGCAGCCAAAATAACATTCTACAAACTTACAAACCACACAAATATACAAGAAACTAATCCAACCCAAAACCAACAAACTTCACCAACATACAAAAATCACAAAAGGTTCATCAAAAACTCACTGAAATGAGCTTGATTTCAACTGATCCCACACCATAGCTCGATCTGAGCTTGCTCTAACTTTATCCCAATGCAAAGGCTTCAACTTCGGCCTCAGCGTCTCCTCACCCTTCTCCACACTCTCATCCTTCATCAACTGCTCACTACCCAAACCAGGTCCAGAACTTGGCATCACAACCGGCCTTGCAGGCAGAACATGAACAGGGGGGCCTGAACTCGGCCTAGCCGGCCTAGCAGTCGCCGGGACCTCCCAGAACCGTTGAGGAGGCATTGGTGGAGGCGGCGGTGGCAGCTTAACTGGAACAAATGGCCTGAACTCACCTCCATTTCTTGAAGGTGATTGTTTGCTCTTCCTTGAAGAGCTCGAAACTCTACCAGGCGAATTCTGGGAATCTCCCGAATCACTTCTTGATGACGAAGAAGATGAGAAGACTGAAACTTTGTCAACATTCTCAACCAATCTCGATGCCTTCATAACTGGGGAGTGACAAGAACTGACGATAGAATCAGGTGAACAAGAATTTGAATAAGGGTACGAAGCCGTTCTTGAATTAAAGCTCCTACTTCCAACATTAATATTACTTTCCCTTCTTGAGCTAGAACCAACTCGAGCTAAACCTGGACTCTCTCTACGACCAGAAGACCCTCTTGGCGAAAAAAACTCTTCTTCATCATCATCTTTCTCTTCTTCAGCTTCACATCTCACATCTTCTTTACTGAAACACATCTCCCCGCTTGTGAAACTCGGGTTGTGTTTCGGCAATGGCGGCAATGGCTTCAGCTCCGGAGACCCAAGTTTCTGATAGGAAGATGGAGACGTAGATAAAGAAGATAAAGAGACGCCAATCTTGGACACCACGTGGCTTGAATCTGCAGCAGCAGTTGTAGTATTATGCTCTTGTGAACGAGAGTTCACCAGCGTGCCAAGATAAAGAAACTCTGAAGAATTACTGGGAGGATTTGAACTTGAGACACTGAGTTGCTGGTGTTGCACAGTGGTTTTCTGAGTACCGTCCGATGGGTCCAAATTTGGCGGGAAAAGGCGTTGGCTGTCGGCAGTTGAGGTTTTCCCGGCATTGTTGGGGTGGTGTTTGCTACGAAAGTAGAGGAAGATGGTGGCAATGGCGGCGAGGATGGCGACTGAGAGAAGGGAGAGGCAGACGGCGAGGACGATGACGTGGCGGTGGGCGGAGGAGGAGCGGGGGTGGGGAAATAGAAGGGAGGAAATGTTCGCGGGGAAGGTGGAGAGAGTGGAGGGGGGTGGCGGCGGAGGATGTGAAGTAAAGGAGGGGAAGAAAGGGCTTTTTGGAAGGTTTGGGGGTGTAGTTGAAAATGGGTACTTGGGTTGGGTTTGTTGGTGGGGGCTTAACTGTGATTGTGGAGAAAGTGAGGGTGGTTGTGTAGGAGAGAGAGGAGTTGTTACTGGGAAGAACGGTTGGTGGAGGAGGTGACGGCGGTGGACATGGTGGCCAGTGGTGGTGGAGACAAAAGTGATGAGAACGAAGAGGAGAATGGTAGGCATTATATGTTTTTTTTTTTTTTTTTTTTTTTTTTGTTAAAACACTAAAAGTTTGAACTTTACTATTGAAATGAGAAGAAAAAGACTAAAAGGTTTGAACTTTGTGTTTGGTGAGAGAGAAAGTGAGAGAAAATGTCCCAAGGTAGAAGAAAACTGTAGGTGTTCAAAGACCAAAGGTTTTCACTTTGAACTATTGTCTTGAACTCTTGGGGCATTAGTCAACCTCAAAACCCATGTGGTTGACAGTGAAAATGTGGCTTCATAATGTCTGTAGACAGAAATAGTGCGCAAAAAGACTGAAGGTTTAACTTCAAGTTTGGCAAGAGGGAAAGTGAGAGAAAATGTCCCAAGGTAGAAGAAAACTGTTTGTGTTAAAAGACTCTTGGACTATAAATCAAACCTCAAAAGCAATATGGTCTGAACTTTGGACTTTGAGTTGGGTAAACGAGAGAGAGAGAGAGAGAGAAGGGTGTTTGTTGAGGGAGAAAGTGAGGGAAAATGGTAAGAAAATGCAAATGGGTAGACGGAAAACAACAAGAGACCAACCAAAGAAGTGAGGTCCAAGCAAGAGAAGAACGTTATCAATGAAATCAAACTTTGAAGTTCACTTGAGACTGACTGGTAGTTTAGACTATCAAGATAAACAAAAGCAAACCCATTAGGCCAAATTGAGAATACTTTCAAGAGTGAGCAAAAATAAAGCAAACGAGAGGCAAATCCCATTAGCCCATTTTGGAGTACTGATGAAATGTATTGATGAGCAAAAAATTGAAGAGAGGTTTGTTTTGTATTTTTGTGTGGTAGTGAAAGCTCAAGAGAATATTACAACAGGTTAAAGATTGTCAGAGAGAGAGAGAGGATTTCATTATTGGGATTTGAAACATTTGGAGAGAGCAAAGAATCTTACTATTATCACAAATAGGTTAAGTGCGAATGGGCTGTTTTTACTTTTTACTGTTGAGTTGGAAGGAGGATAACCTCCGGGCTTGTTTCTTATCACAACTGTCAATTTAGAAATGTTTTTTTTCTTTGTTTTCTTTTTAAATAGAGTGTTTTGACAATTTAGCATATCTCAGTTAATCTTTGTAACCAATATCTCACTGATCACTATTAGGATTATTCGTTTAAATCTTAAAAGTTAAAAGAGAATTCGAATATGAGAGATCATTTATCTTAATCACACATTCCAAACGCTCATACTGTCACTTTAACTAGATGGATCAATGTTGGTAACTTTTGGTTTGTAAGTTTTGGATTTGTAGTATCTCAAACTTATATGTAAACTGGCTTATTATTTCTGTCCATATTCCCAATCCTATTCTCCAAATAATGTTTAACAGATTATTCCAGAAATATTACCTTATTTTTTTAATTACTTTTAAATCTCATAAGGTCATTAATTTCATTAAATATCCCCTAAAAAAAAGTTTAAAAATTAACAAAAATACTCCCATGACCCATTCTTGCCAGAGTTCGACAACCACCGTCGATGGTAACCGGAATCTACCACAACGATGAATTACCGACCGGAACTGGCCGATAATTCACTGATCTGGCCATCAGTAATGGCCAAATCTTGGCCATCGTTGGCCTTTTCTGGCCAAATCCACTGACGGCCAAATATGGCCTTCTTTGGCCTTTTCCGGCCATAGATCTGGTGGATCTAGTTGGAAAAGGCCATAGCGACGCCATATCGGCCAGATCCAACCGGTATGTGTGGTTATGCAATTTTCAAGCCTGGAATCTGGCACTACAAGTGGTGGAGGTCTTTTTGTCATTTTACATATTTTTTATATATTAAAGTATTTATTAAATTAGCAAACTTAGGGGGTTTTTTTGTAAATTTTTAAATTTTACCTCGTAATACTCTCATATTCAATTATCCAATACTATCCCCAAAATCCTATCCAAAATAATAAACCAAACGTACCCTAAGAGATTGATTCATATTATGTGTATATATTTCAAAAATTATTGATTTTATGATAGTGTTAATTTCATCGAGCATTGAGAAATTGATAAGTCTCGAGCGTTTCAGTAATTTTTTTAAAGTACTCTTATTATTAAGGTTTTTAATATTTTTATAGGGTTTTTTTATAATTTCAAATTGAATTTATGATAATCTCGATGGGTTTGTAGTGACTGTTATAATAGTGTTTGAAATTCTTTTAATGTTTTAAATTTATTAATCTCTCAAGAACAGATGAAATTAACCTATTGTGATAATACTGTAAAAAGAGAATAAGAACATAAATTATATTAGTTGACAATTATTATGTGAGACAAACCCTTGTGCACTCGTTTAATTATAGTGATATGATATTTTCTTTGAACAAGTTCAAGTTTTTAATTAGTAAATAACAAAAAAAGAATAAAATAAATAATAGAATTTGGCAATACACTTTGGGTGCGTTTGGTGTAGTATTTTGGATAGGATTTTGAGGATAGTATTGGATTGTTGGATAGGGGAGTATTACGAGGTAAATTTGAAAATTTATGAAAAAGCCCTTAGGTTTACTAATTTAATTAAAGACCCTATTATATAAAATGACAAAAACACCCCCACCATCTGCAGTGTCAGATTCCGGCCACCACCGCCGGAATCTGGCCGGAAAATTTCGTTACGGCACAGACCGATCGGATCTGTGCCGTAACGCATCATTATGGCCTTTTCCGGCAAGATCTACAGCCTGTTATGGCCGTCGACGGCCGGAAAGGCCAAAACGACAGCCATCTTTGGCCGTCAGCGACGGCCAAAGATGTGGCCGTCGTTTTCGGTCAACGACGACCATTTCTTTGGCCTTCGCTGACGGCCAGATCTGACCTTTTCTGGCCAGATCCGTGGTGGATCTAGCCGGAAAAGGCCAGATCGGTGTAATTCCGGCCATTTATGGTTGGAATTTAGGCCGTTGTACAGATTCCGGCTATCACCGGCGGTGGTTGCCGGAATCTGACAAGTTGGGTTGATGGGAGGGTTTTTGTTAATTTAAAAAAAAAAAATTCAGGGGGCATTTAGTGAAATTAATAACCTTATGGGGACTAAAGTAATTAAAAAAATAGGGTAATATTTCTGGAAATGTGTGCCAAACATTATTTGGGAATAGGATTGAGAATGGATAAAAATAGGGAACCAAACGCACCCTTTATTTTATAACCCACTTAAACGTAAGGAATCACTAAGTCCAATCTTGTAGGTGACTAGGAGGACATCACATTCACCACATGACCTAATCTTTGTAGGTGACTAACAAAGCATCCACTGACATGATCACCTACTTAAATCTTAGAAGTCAATAGAGCGACGTGATCACTTATTTAATATTGGAGCCTAGAAGATTCGAACTTAGGACCGTACACCTTAATCACAATTCAACGCTCGACCTATCACTTTAACTACTCAAGGTGGGTAATTTAACAAACACCTATGCTTTCTAATCACAATAATCTCTATTGATACAAGGTTTGTATTTTGCAATTAGTAATTAATGAAAAATAATAAAACAAGAGAAGAATATTTAATATAAACAAGTATCACAAGATGTTTTAAAACAAAAAACAAAAAAAAAATTAACAATAATAATGAAATAAAATATATTACTACATAATACAAAATCTTATATGGTAAAGAAGGTGGCCCATTGGGTAAGGTTTTTGTTTTTGGAAGCTTGTGTGAGGGGACTTGCTATCTACAAGTCACAAGTTAATTCTATTGAAGTGAATAATATTGATAGATTTTGCTCTATTTTGATGGAATCAAAATCTTCAATCAATCATATTTTTTAACCTATTTTAAGTAACTATAATACATTAAAATCTATAATATTTTTAGTAATTTGGCATTAATGTTCAACTAGAAGTTTTATTCAAAAATTTATATGGATTTTAATAAATTTGAAGATTTATTTATGGCTTTATATGAATAATTTAATTATACATAACGGTTATGTTTTTAATAGGGCGAATTGAGGATAATGTGGATAAGGCATAAGCTCAGATTTGATTCCTTAGCTAAGCATCTACTATTTAGTAAGGGGTCGTGGTAGTAGGTTGTGCGCCAGTCTCTCGATGATTAGTCAAAGTATGCAAACTGACCCAAATATTTAGTTTTTTTTTTTTTTTTAAAGTATAGTTTCTAGAAAAATTAATTAATAAATTTGGACAAACTATCTAAAATATATTGAAGTGTTGGACCTGTTATGGACCATTTATTGATGGTGTCTTTCCTATAACATAAAGAACATTTAAAAGTAGTTGGAAAAACCGAAAAAGAACCCAAAATTATGTAGCCATTATCCTTTTCTTTAAAAAAATAATAATAATAATAAAAAAAAATATTGTGAATTGAAAAAAAAAAAAATAGTAGTCCTTATCATTTGAACATGATATTTTCCATCAAAATTCTCTTAGTCATCACATGCTTTAATTTCTTAGTCATTATCATGTTTGGCTAGAAAATATGAGGGAAAATATAAAAATAAAAAACGGAAAGGAAAAAGGAAAAGAAAATAAACTTAATATTTTTTTCTTCAAAATACTAATGGGATTAAATCTTATGTCTCTAAACCAATAATGGATTCAACCGTAGAAATGCTTCCATGTGATTAAATTTTCATAAGAATATTGAATAGTTACATGTAAACAAGAAGAGAGGAGTCATGGTGGTCCCTTTCAGATCACCCGGATCCCACGAGTGAATGGTTCCAATTTGTCACGAAATTTGGTTTTGTAGAAATTTATAGGTTGCGAAATGTATGGAAATCTTGGTATGAAAAAAAAAAAAAGTGGGATGCTGATCAAATCCATAGCACTCAATTTTTTTTATTTATGATCTTTTAAGTTAAATTGGGTATTGAAAATGATTTTTACTACTAAATTCAATAATTAAACAAACAATATTTGGCTTGCAATATTATTAATTATTAAATTGAGCAAAAAAATTATTAATGAAACATTGAACATTATATGTGGACTAAATTCAAATAAAATTTATCATATTGTACTTAAAAAAAATAAAAAATAGGGCACCATTTTAAGGTGGTTAGGTGGAATTGAATGAAATATTGAAGAAACTAGTTGGCAGAATTCAATTACAATTTACAAACTATAAATGGATTCTCAGCCTCAGCTACTCCTTTACTCCTTTATAATCCATACCTTCTCTTTGTAGATTGATTTTATGATAGTGTTAATTTCATCGAGCATTGAGAAATTGATAAGTCTCGAGCGTTTCAGTAATTTTTTTAAAGTACTCTTATTATTAAGGTTTTTAATATTTTTATAGGGTTTTTTTATAATTTCAAATTGAATTTATGATAATCTCGATGGGTTTGTAGTGACTGTTATAATAGTGTTTGAAATTCTTTTAATGTTTTAAATTTATTAATCTCTCAAGAACAGATGAAACTAACCTATTGTGATAATACAGTAAAAAGAGAATAAGAACATAAATTATATTAGTCGACAATTATTATGTGAGACAAACCCTTGTGCACTCGTTTAATTATAGTGACATGATATTTTCTTTGAACAAGGTAAAGTTTTTAATTAGTAAATAATAAAAAAAGAATAAAATAAATAATAGAATTTGGCAATACACTTTATTTTTATAACCAAACCATCTTAATCACCCACTTAAATTATTAAGTCTAGTAAGAATGACTAAGATCGCCATGATCACGCACTTAAAGGATTAAGTCTCGGAGGAATGACTAAGTCCAGTCTTGTAGGTGACTGGGAAGGCATCCCATCCCACTGTAATGACCTAATCTTTATAGGTGACCAGTAGAGTATCCCACTGACATGATCACCCACTTAAATTTTG